GTGTGTGTGTATGGCCCTTTTCGTCTATGCAGGCGGTCAATTTAGTTTAAGGTGGTCTCAAGGTTGTCTTAATGCAGCTTCTTTCATGGCTAATTTTCCCCATGTTTGAAGCGGAGATTCTGTTGCAGTGCTTACATGTCAGTGACGTGGATCGAAGCTCTGTATTTCCGCTGTTTTCCTTTTGTTGTTGGCGCTTCTCAGCCTGGTTGTTTCTAAGGCTGCTCTCTGGCATTATAGTTCTTTCCTTTATCATTTTCCTCCATGTTTTCCTGTCCTCAACTATTTCTTCCCAGATGCTAACATCTACTCCAAGCTTAGATAAGCTGTTTTGCAGGTGTCTTTGTACCTCAATTTTGGTCTTGCCCTTGGTCTCTTTCCCTGGGCAAGTTCTCCATAGAGAAGTTGCTTCAGAATCTGCCCAACCATCTCAATCTTTTTAAACACAGGATAGTTGTCTTGCTCTGGATGTTTGCCCGTGCCAACACTTCAACAATTTGTAACCTTGTCACGCCTAAGATCTTGCGGCAGCATCTGAGATGGAAAATTTCGAGGCGCTTTTCTTACCTGCTGTACAAGGTCCATGTTTCAGGTCCATAAAGGAGTGTGCTGAGGACACATGCTTCGTAAATCTTGATCTTTGTTTTGATGGTTAATCTTTCGTTTCCACATGCTAACTTTGTCAGCCTTCCAAATGTTGTTGTTGCTTTCCCTCTCCTGATGTTGATCTCATAATCAAGTGATGTAGTAAAGCTGATGGTAGATCTCGGGTAACACAACTTTTCCATTGTCTCAGGTTCCTTGTCGTTCAGCCATATATTGTTCTGCTCTGCACCTTACTGTGTAAGGATGACAGTTTTCTTAACACAGATGACCAAGCTAAAGACCCTGCATGCTGTTGATAGTCCATTTGGACGCATTTGGAAACATCTTTGTTTGTAGGGTTGATTCACTGTGAGCAACAAGAGCAGCATCATAGGCGAAGAGAAGGTCTCGTACTGTTGCTTTGTTGATCTTAGTCTTGGCCTTGAGTCGAGTAACATTGAAGAGCGACCCATCAGTTCTCCAGGGGAGGAAGACATTCCCTAGTGACTCTTTGAATGTGTGTTGCAGTAAGACAGTAAAATAAGTGCTAAAAAGGGTTGGTGCTAAGACCTGGGGCGTAGGCGCTGATGAAGTGAGCCTTTCCAGTTTTGGTTTTCATTTCCATGACAGTGATACGTTCGGATATACCTTGGTGGCGCTGATCCCGTTTAGCAATCTGTTGTGTACTGCAAAGCCCACACCATGAATTCTCCTCTCATCTTATCCAAGACCATTCCAGAAGAATGTGTAGTTTCTTTCCCTGATGGTACCAGAGTTAGCAGGTCTTGTCTCTAGCAGTGCAGCGATGACTACATCGAGTCGTGTGAGCTCCCTGTCTATGAATGCTGTCTTTCTGATGTCCTCTGTTTTCTCCAGGTCGGTAGTGCCCAATCCGGTTGTCATTGTTCTAACATTCAAGGTCCCCAGTTTCCACGGGGTTAGTTTTACTCTTTTTTTTGCCTGGTGTTAAGTTTAATGTCTGCCTTTCGATTTTTGTCCTAGCTCCATACACGTATAGAAGCAAACAGACGTGGCTGATCAGCACCTTACTGGCTGGGGGCTGCCCAGTTTGAGACGAGCGGTAGCTGATCAGTGCGACTGAATAGTAACTCCCATCGTCAAAGGTGACCCGTGGCGACACCTTGTTTCGCCAAATAAGGATGTGTTATAACCCGTAAACTGCCACCTCCCTTGCTCATCACAACAAAGATGAAGTGTCCTCTACATAGTCCTTAAATGCTGTTGTAGCTGCGGTTGAGCTGTGGGTCTGATCCGCTGTATTTGCTCTTTTGCAGCGTCCTCCTAGAAATATTGAAATCGTGACTAAGCTAAATGCCTGGGCCTAACTGTATGGAGAACGGGTCTTGCCTAATTTGCACGAACCCTTTCTCGACTTTGCTGATTTAGTCCAAAGGAGAAACAGGGCCAATACATTTGGAACCAGTAGAATTGCAGGGGCTGCCAGAAAATAGTTCGGATAATTCCTCCTTGTCGACTGCCTTCTGGGTCCTCCCTCCGGATTTGTTTAGCCTTTCATACTCCCTTATGCACCTACAAGGAACAGCTGCAGGTGGTAACATCTACTGTCATTATGGTCGCAGCACTAAGGCTGACCCGACACAACTTATGTATAATATGTATATATACATATATATATATATATATATATATATATATATATATATATATATATATAAATACTGAGGTGCCAAAAAACCTGCGAATTTTTATTACAGGTGCGAAATGTCAGTTATAGCAGGATTCTCGTTACAAGGGATTAAGTAATACATTCAAGGGAAATAGTAAAGTAGGCCTAATCTATGAGTTTGGCGTTCTGTTTATTCCTTTTTGCAGTTCCCCTGATGATGATTTGTTCAACATGATCTCTAGGTCTTACTTTATCAAAAATCGAATTAGGTCTCTTTCTCTAGCACTAGAAATGTTGACAGCTCGGCGTTGGCGATCAGAAAGAAGGGCCCTGGCTCTAGGCTAACTCGCCCGCTGTGTTGTCCCCCGCCCCACCACACCTTGTGGTGTGTTGCGTCTGCTAGCGCACGTCACACATTCACTCCATCTATCACAGCATTGTGACCTCTCCGTCCCGCACCAGAGAAGTGAGAGGCATGGTATTCCTAGATAATCTAGACTGGGCTGGCCTATCACGCGATGCGTTCTGCTTGTCTGCGCATGCCACACCCTCCCTACTCATTCGCTCCGGCTTTCATTGTTGGTTCGCGTGGGCTCTCCCATTCTTTGTTTCGCTGGATCACCAATAACTTTCTCAACTGGCAAGGTTTTATAATATGTGTAATTGGTCTGCGCGCTGTGCACAGCAACAGCAATATTCGGTTAAAACCGACTCGCGTGACGGTCTGATTGCGCAATAGCAGTATTTTATTTACAAAGATAAAGAAGGAGAAAAAACGGGGTTTTAGAATAGTGTCTTTGTAACAGACTTCTCGTTGTTTCAGGACTCGTTATAAGTGGACTCCACTGTACAACACAATGGTTGGCAAAATGCAATACATAGGTTTCAAGTTATTTGTTGTGTTTATTAGCTGAAACTTTACACACTTCTTGAGTGATATAGCTGACATGAATGGAGGGTCCAACACATTCATCTGAGCTCACGTTGACCTTGACCTTGG